ACGCATTCGGATTAGTGCTTTAAGAAATGCTTTTAATAGCTGGCTGGTCATGAAGGAAGGAAGGAGCATCACTGCTCTGGAGCAGCACATGAGTGACAACAGAATGAGCTGACCACATGGGGGAGCATTAAGGCTGACAAATAGGCTGCGGTGGACGAAGAAGGTTGAGATGTCTTATTAAGACTGGGATCTGCTCACAGAGTCATGCAATTGTGGAGCTGGAGGGAACACAAGGGTCCTCTGTGGGAATAAATTAAACTAGTTTCTGAAGAGTCTGTCCAGCATCTTCTTAAAACCTTCACAGTGTAAAAACCCATCACTTCTGGAAACTCCATGAGTTCTGAGGGGGTCCTTGGTGCTCTCTGAGTTGGGTTGTTTTCATGCAGATTATTTCATTACCCAAACTAGGTAACATCATCAGTGATAGTGCTATCACCATCTAGCACTGATCATGTAACCTAGTTTGGTTAATGAAACATCTACAAGAAAACAACCAAGCTCAGAGAGCACCAAGGACCCCCACAGACCTACTACTACTACTTCTCCTCCCCCCTTCTCCTTCTCTTCCTCTACACAAACCCCACTCCCTTTTAGCACTGATGATGTTACCTAGTTAGGGTAACGAAACATCTGCAGGAAAACAGCCAAGCTCAGAGAGCACCAAAAACATCTCATTTCAATCCTGAGCTACAAATATTTTCATTTATTGATACCAGGAATGATTCCACTGTTGAATAGAACTTAACGTTATGTAGGTTTTCCTAATATTCAAACAAAATCTAGGTAGTTGCAACTTGTCTCCATTTGTGCTCTCTTTGTAGTCGCTTTGGCGTAACGACAGTGGTCGGTATCTTGATTCTAGGCTTAGATGTTGAATTTCAGCTTCTCTGCAATTTATAAATAAAACCAAGCCTGCAAATTGTTGGTCCTTCGAAAGTTCATAGACTTTGGATCAGACTGTGTCTTCGACTGTCTGATTTTAAGATGATCTAATGTTCTGGTTTTAATGTTTCTGACATTTTACACTTTTTAATTCCGTGCTGCTACAGTATTTTTTCGGAACTGGTTATAATGGAAAGCAAAGAGCAAATTTACCAATACAGGTATAGTCCTTGATTTACAAAAGTTTTCAGTTCATTTAGTGACCATTCAAAGATACAATGGCAATGAAAAAAGGGACTTAGGACCCTTTCTCACACTTCCAACCGTTGCAGCATCCCCATAGTCACGTGATCAAAATTCGGACGTTTGGCCATTGACTCATATTTATGACAGTGGCAGTGTCCCGGGATCGCGTGATCACTTTTTGCGACGTGACAAGCAAAATCAATAGGGGAAGCCAGATTCACTTAACTGCTATGTTATTAACTTAACAATTGCCGTGGTTCACAACTGTGGCAAGAAAGGTCGTAAAATGGGGCAAAATTCACTTATCAACTGTCTCACTTAGCAATAGAAATTTTGGGTCGAGAACCACCTGTAAACCCATCAACAAAACAAAACCTAACCTGAATCTCCAACTCACGGAAGAGGCTGGAATAACCACCTTTCCCATCTTGCTAGATGGCAAGACCTAAAATTCACATCCAGCTTGATTATAGGTAGTGTAGTCCAACATTTTTGCTCCCTAGAAAGTTTCTCTTTTCAGTTGTTTAAAGGAAATCTATAATCCTTATACTTCTTTTCTTACTCAGCTGAGGGATGTGTTGAAAGAGCCATTTCTTCCTGGAATTTTAACAAGACACATCCTACTAAACAATATTTGCTCGGATGATTCAGGCAGCCTAAGATCTTTGTAATGAAATGAAGATAAACAAAATTTAAAAAATGAGTTATGTGTACCTCTTAATCTTGGGCCTCTCGTCACTATTCCAGATTCTAATTTCAGCCATGAAGTAGCCTTCAAGAGGCCTTGTTGAAAGACACAATATTTTTTTTTATTTCAGCCTGACCTTAGGTCAGACTGACTGGAAAGCCGTTTTCTTATCAAAGCACAGCATGTTAAAAAATAATAATTCAAGAAGTGGCTAGGGAATTTTGCCTGTGGGGGGGGGGGTTGCTTCCTGGTAGGATCAAGAAATTAAACTTAATCTGTCTTTTTCCTTCACTGAACAGAACATAACAGTTCATCCATTGCTTTCATTGGTGCTATCTTTCAGTTTTTATCACGTTTGCTATGAAATATCTTGCAGAATAATACCAAGAATTTTAAGCCTGAGGGATGGATGGGTGGGTGGGATGAAGCATTTTCTTATTGACCCCATTAGTCTACCAAGATCAAATAACTCATTACGCAGGCAGTCTTATCTTGTTCTCCTGATGGATTACAAGATGCAGAATTCCCAATTATTATGGCCACTGGGGTGACGGTTCCCTGTAGAGCCTGTGACAGATTGGAAAAGACCGGTGAAGGGATATCTCAGACAATTACTAAAGCATCTTTCATCCAAATAACTTCAGCTATTTTCAGTCCTTTATTGTAGAAATGAGAAGTCTGTTAGAACATCGATAAGCAAAGGCAGAAAGAAAGTGGCGTTTATGTTGTCTCAATAAAATTCAGCAGTGTAGAATGCACAACAAAACATAGCAAGCTTTTCCTACAGCACAGGTAGTCCTTGACTTACAACAGTTCATTTAGTGACTGTTCAAAGTTACAACATCACTGAAAAAAGTGACTTATGACCATTTTTCACACTTACGACCTTTGCAGCAACCCCACAATCACATGATCAAAATTTAGATGCTTGGCAATTGATTCATACTTATGACCGTTCCAGTGCCCCAAGGTCATGTGATCCCTTTTGCGAACTTTTGACAAGCAAAGTCAATGGGGAGGCCAGATTCACTTAACAATTGTGTTACAAACTTGTTCTGAAGTTTACCAGGAACTCTTCAAAAACATCTGTCTGACAATATAATCCATAAGTGAGAGGCTTCCCTTTCTTTTCCCTTTTATTCATGTTTCTGTAACGTAGATTTATTTGCGCTGTGACAAAACCCAGGAATGTTGTTAATGAAAATTCTCAGCTATTGCTGTTAGATCTTACTCATGTAAACATCCAAATCTAATGTGTTTATTTTGCACTGCTTTGAGTACAGCATGTGTATTTATCAGACTCACACATATCCTGGTTTGCAATTGTAAACCGTCTTGTAAGACAACTGGATCTTAGGATCTTGTCGCTTAAGTTAACTCAACGCTCTTAACCTTTGACTTCTGTTTACAGTCCCTAACTTCCCACCATTGATAAATAATCAAGAATATCCATTTAAGGAGCTGCTGGTTTACATTTGAGTATCACACAACTCCCCCAGACAGTCTTTACGTATTTTTAGAACAATGGCAAAGAACTATTTTCGATCCAAGGACTACACTTGTTTATATAATCCCTTCTGAAAGCTACATGTCAATGAAATGCAGTTGTAGCATCAAGTCACCCCATACTCTTTCTCCAGTGGACATGCTTTTTGAATCTCAAACCACTTTTGAAATGTATGTTATTTATTGATTAGATTTTTGTCCTGCCTTTATTACTTTATAAATAACTCAAGGCAGCAAACAACCTTCCTTCTCCCATTTTCCTCACAACAACTACCTTGGGTTGGGCTGAGAGAGAGAGTGATTGAGTCAGGGTCACCCAACCAGCTTTCATGCCTAAGGTGGGACTAGAACTCACTGTCTGCTGAGGAGGAGGAAGAGGAGGAGGAGGAGGAGGAGGAGGAGGAGGAGGAGGAGGAGGAGGAGGAGGAGGAGGAGGAGGAGGAGGAAAAGGACTGTGTATCCTTAGTGCTCTCTAAGCTGGATGGTTTTCTTGCAGATGTTTCATGACCCAGCTAGGTAACTTCAGTGCTAAGGAGGCAGTGGGACAGAAAGCAAATCCCACATCCTCCTAGCATTGATGATGTCCCCTAGCTGGGTCGTAAAACGTCTGCAGGAAATCTACTCAGCTCAGAGAGCACCAAGGTTCTCAACAGTGCAATCCTGACCTACAAATAAATATGTTTTTTTTATTAGCAGGAAGCTTCAAGACCAATTTTTTAAACAAAATTTTATTAAATTTATATAAGTGAGGAAAAATAGGAACAATACAGGTATGGTAAAGGGAGGGGTAAAAGGAAAGGGGGAGGGGAAGGAAATAAGAAATTAGGGTAAAATAAGGATAGGTACAATCACATATTTCAACAAACAAGCAACCGTCCAGATCATAATAATAAGTAAGTATCATATTCAACCATTTTTAACAAAGCTTAAACTGTAACATATTAAAAACAATTAGTAAACAAATACGTTGATCTATTAAGTAAACACTACCAATAAAATCTCAAAAAAAAAAAAATCCTAACAATCAAAAGTAACAAATGAAAATCAGTAAATCAGGAAAACTAATCGTATCATCAAAATGTTAGTTAGAACTCGATTAAAAATCAGTCAACTATTCTAAAATATTGAATCCTTCAAATTCTAACGTGTCTCTAACCATTGATAAAAAATTTTCCCACGTTCCAAAATGAATTGAGTCATCTTTTTCTTTCATTTCTAATGTTAGTCTATCCATTTCTGCACACTCTAAAATTTGGGTAATAATAATCTGGTCAGATGGTAGATTCTCATTTTTCCAAAATTGAGCAAATACTATCCTTGCAGCAGTTAAAACATGCAATATCAAGTAGTCGTTCTCTTTGCCATAATTAGGTGCTTCAAGACCATTTTTGTAGGGAAGGGGTGGAACCAGGATGAGATCCCAAATAGAACAGATTCCCCGGCCAGGCCATTCCCTTAATTAATTAGAGGATGGAGGGAGGGAGGGAGGCGCGCCGCCCTCCCTCCCTCCCTCCCTCCCTCCCTCGCATCCTCTCCCGGGCGGTCCCGTCCCCGCCGCGCGGCCGGGGATGCGGTTGCCGCGGCAACGGAGCCCAGCATCTCGGGTCGCCTAGCAACCGGCGCTCTCCGGCTTCCTCCCGCCTGCTCCGCGCCCTCCCTCTCTCCTCCCACCCGGCGCTGGGATCAAGCCAGGCGGGGAATGCGCAAGCTCGGCCCCGGCGAAGACGGACGCCCGAAGTCCATCGGCATCATGGCGCTTTGGCGGCCGGCGCTGCTGCTGCTCCTCCTCCTCCTGCTCCGTGAGTTTTGCCCGGTTGTGTGTATGTATGTGTGCGTGTATGGGGGGGGGGGGTTCCGGGGATCCCGCGATGGAGGGGCGAGTCGGACCCGAAGGAAAACCCGGGCGGGGTCTTTGCAAGGCGGGGATTAGAAAACTGGGAAGGGGGAAAATCGTTCTTTCCCCGTCGTAACCGCCTCTTCCCCGGGTCCTTATTGTTTCCAGCATCCGCGAGTTGCAAAGTTAGGCGATACGTGTCTTTTTTTGGGGCGGGGGGTGTCTTTGGGGAGTTTCCTCCCTCCCCATCATCCTTGGGCAGAGAGTTCCTCAAACAATAGGCCGTCGGCATGCTTTCCATGGGTTGGAGGGTGTGTTTTGTGTGTGTGTGTGTGTGTGTGTGTGTGTGTGTGTGTGTGTGTGTGGGATGGTGGTGGTGGTGGGGTTGTGTATCTTACAAGGGGGAGGAAAACTTTTCTACAGTCCAGCATCTGGGGCAAAGGGAAAAGGAGCTTGGCTGCTGGGGGGTGTGTGTGTGTGTGGAAAAAAAGTTTTTGCTCTTTTTTTGCCTAAACAAAAGATTGTTGAGTTGGTAGATTGGGGGATTCCACAGAACAAAGGCGCTTAATAGGATAATACTGCTGGCTGCCTGGCTCAGAAGTATAACCTAACTAGCTGCCAGATATACACACCCACACACCCTCCTCCGTAGTTGTTAAACTATACTGTTGGATGATGTCCCGGTGAGCTTCTCCTGCGTTGGTACAAAATGTACATTTTTGTGAAGGAAGGAAGGAAGGAAGGAAAGTGTCGTGGCAGGCCCTTTTCTGCTTCCTGTTCAGTTGTTTTTATTGATTATGTATTTCGTGGAGTTGTAACATAATTTGGAGGCATCTTCCTCCCCACCCATTTATTCCCTTTTTCTGTAACTTGGGCTGTGTGTGGAAAGGGTGGAGGAAGAGGAAGATTTGCTGGCTGTGGTTATTTTCCTACCCTTTCTCTCCCGTCTGTCTTTATCAAGAATCCCAAAATTGTTTCTCAATGGTGTCCTTGGATGTTTATAACAGCAGCCTCAAGAAATAGAGCTAAAGGGCAGTAACTGGCCCCAAATCACCCAATTTTTGTGTGTGGCCACTACAAGCTGGCACAGGCTGTTATGCAAGTAATCCTCGACTTACAACGGTTCATTTAGTGACCAAAGTTACGACGACACTGGAAAAAATGACATGATCATTTTTTCACACTTAGGGCCTTTCTAGCATCCCCGTGCTCATGTGATCAAAATTCAGATGCTTGGCAACCGGTTCGCATTTATGATGGTTGCAGCGTGATCCCCTTTTTGCGACCTGACAAGCAAAGTCCATGGGGAACCCAGTTTCACTTAACAACCGGGTTACTTGCTTATCAACTGCAGTGATTTCATTTAACATCCGTGGCAAGAAAGGTCACAAAATGGGGCAAAACTCACTTAGCAAATGTCTCACTTAATCACAGAAATTTTGCGGCCAGTTGTGGTCGTAAATGGAGGACTACCTGTCCATTTTAAGTATGTAAAAGTAAAAAATTGAGCTTGTAATGTTATTATCCTGTTCTACTGCTCTAAAAAGAATCGGAATCAATGCTTCTCTTTCTCCCCCCCCCTTATCCTACACTTCTTTCTTTCCTCTTTTCCTTCCCCAGTTCTCACCCTATTTTCATTTTTATTTTATTCTTCAACAAGTCTCATAAAAAAGTATCAGTTATTTATTTTCTTTTTTAAAAAATAAGAACAGCTGACACACAGAATGTTTTACTCAAAACTATTTTGGGGAGTCGAATAAAGCAAGGCCAGAAAAAACAACGGAGTGGAAACTTTACTTTGAACTTAGCCACCCCTTCCTCCATCTGTACACCATTTAGAATGTGCTCATATTTAACACTTGGATGACACAAAGAAGTGTAATATTTGTGTGGACTGTATTCCCCACCCCTCTGTGGTTTGCCTTCTTTATCATTTTTTGCAGGAGACAATCTTTGCTCCTGTCCCGTTATACAAAAATTTCCCAGTTCCCCCATCTTCTAAGTGTTTCTGTGCTTATCTTGAGGAGGAAAGATGTAGGAATGTGCAGCTTGGTCAGCTCAGTGTAGCTGATATTGGATCCTTTTTCACTTGGCAACAGAGAGATTCATTGTTCTGAGGGCCCCATGCAAATGCTTGCAGCTTTAATTGCAAAAACATTTGCTAATTCCATTCATGAATGAGTTAGGACTTGCTTGGCCTTTTGGCTATTAATAAAAGGCCAAAAAGGGCAGCCTGCGTGGCTTTTGCTATATATGACTGTTCATCTAATATACACACTTTGTACTTCAGAGGATAGATGCCCCTGGGTAAATATAACAAGCAGACTAGAATAATGCTGTGAGTTGGAATTTGCCAGTTCTTATTGAGAAAATGAGGTTCCCCAAGGAAATGGCATGAACTTTCCATTTCAGGGACCACACACCTTTTTATGTTTCCTTGCAAAATATACAGATAATTGTGTTACCGTCTGATCACAGTCTCATACAGCTTCCTGCTAATATGATGATTTGGGGGAAATGGGAGATGATTTTTATTTATTTACCTACATATTTATTCAGTTTTGTGGCCGTCCGATTTCAACAGGGACTCTGAACAGCTCTCTCTAAAAAAAAAAAAAAAAAAACATGGCGCCAGGAAGCGATCCTTTAATACCCACTGATGAAATATTAAAATATTGATTCCAGTTCTTGATTCCTCCTGTTAATCCTGATTTGCCAGGCTATCCTAAGATATACCCAAAAGCATCACCTGAGACAGAGAGCAAGGGTGTGATTGCAAAAATCCCATGGACTAGGAAAATGTTCTTTTTTTTCCCCTTCTTCTTTTTTATTTCCTCCAGCATGCCAATCATTAGAACAATTTCCGGTCCAGAGGACTTAAACCATCCAGTTTTGAGTTTGAATTGCACACTTTTCCCAACCAATCCATCAAATCTATTTTGTCAGTACGGATCCTTACCCACTTTTAGTTTCTTCCTTTGCAAAATTTGCAGTGGTAGTTTTAATTACTACACCATCACCCCCCACTTGGTGTCTGGGACTTAAAGCCATTACTGGTAAGAATCTCATTGACCCCTCCAGCTTCAGGGCAGTTCTTGAATACACAGTTTTGCGATATGTGTGGGATTCCTTTCCAGAGACCTTAGTCTGGCCCAGCACAACAAATCCTTTAGGCATCAGGTTAAAAATTTTGCTAATCTCCCAGGTCTTTGATGACAAGTCATAAAGATCTTGCTTATTAATTTCATGGCTGCTGCTTGTCTGCTGTTATTATTGGCTTAGACTTTTATGTGATATTTTAGGCTTGTTTTAACTGAGCTGTTAGCTGCTCGAACACCCAGTCTGGCAATAAGGCAAGGCATCTATAGCTTTTTTAAAACAGAGCAAATGTGTTTGGATGTGATAGGGGAGAGATGAAGAGGAAAGAGGAAAGCTTTGGTACAAGCAATTAAAAATTAATTGAGGCTTGTTTATGTCAGTTTTTCTCTCCTACCAGCCCCAAAAAAGCATTTTATGGTAATAAAATCAATGGGACGTAACATCTGACAACTCTTACTTGTATTCCGATAAAACAGTGGAAAAACTAGACCAATGCAAGAATCGGTTTCAGACACAACAAAACTGCTTTTGATTTGCTGAGTTCAGAGAGAGTAATTCTTAAATCAACCGATTGTAAAAAAAAAAAATACAGTCTTGTGGCAATGAAAAAACGAGACCAAAAGTTGATAAAAAAAATGAAAGGAACTGAGTTAATTATCAGAAACGACTTGCTGAAAATTATTTCTGATTTTCAGTCTGCCCTCTCTTAAAAGTTTTAGCCATTTGGATTATTGCTGGAGCTGTAGTTTGCAATCCTAATTTGAGCAGGCTTTTGGTTCAGGTGAATGAAGGCCCTTCCGAAAAAATGTGTGTTATTTTTTGTGATTGTCCAATTTTTCCTGACTTTTTGCACCTTTTTATGATGGCATTTTTTATTATGACTTTTTTCCTGTGGGTTTTTTTTTTCATTTTACAAACCGCCCGGGGTCACTGGGTCACTTTATACAAATTTAATAAAGGAATAAATAATTTATTTAGGGAAACTTCTCTGGCCTTGGAAGCCAAGCGGGGTCAAATCTATTTAGTTAAGGGATATGGGAACCACTAGGAGGAATTCCTGGGATGTAGGCAAGCAAAGAACATCCCAGAAAAAGCTGAAGGAAACTGCTTTTGTTGTGTTGCCAAGACAGCTACATGAATAAATAAATATATACGGTCACCAGGCATCTTTTTACCTTAAAAATTGTTTTTTTTACCTTTCTCCTCCCTGGTCAAATCCAATGATGCACCCTTTTCAAGATGAGATTAAGTTCTGGAGAACTTCACCTGCTCCTCCAGATTCCGTGTGGGTTGCATCCTCCTCAAATAGCTGAGAGTTTTGGGATTCTCTGAAGACCCAAATAGATTTTGTGCCCACAAAAGCCTTTTTGTAACATTCTAATCAGAATATCTCTAGACAATCCCCTCTTTTTACAGAGATCCAGCTGTCCCTCAAGGAAGCAAGTGGTCCAAACCAGCTGTCCACGCTTGTGGTCCCTTTGCTTTTTCTGGCCTGGTGGATTTGGCCTGCTAGGCTCCTAAATTGGAAAGGGGAACATGAAGGACAGGAATACGATGAAGTGCCAAAAGCTGCATCACTGCTGGATGATAAAAAGGCCCAGGGTCAGCCCAAATTGGTTGCTTGGAATTGTTGCTTTCATTCCATTCCAAATATGAATTTTCTCCTAGAGTTGTAAACAACCTAAGCTTGTCATGTTGTAAGAGTTGATTTTTCCCTTGTACCCCCCCCCCACACACTTTCTAGTCCTGGCCAAGAATGTGTGACACTAGCAAGCTGTTTTTAAACATGTTCTACAAGCCGTTTTGTTTATGAGGTAAATGGCTTCGAGTTCATGGAGAATGGCGTGGACGCTTGTGCCAAGTCTT